GGATATATACACTCCTGGTATGACTAGTGAAACTTTGTATTCTGTTACCTGTAGCAAAATTCTGTTTAAATTCTGCTTGTATTTTCGTATCCTTCTCAAGAAGTTTATTCCTCGTGGATATATACACTCCTGGTATGGCTATTTAAGTTTGTATTCTGTTACTTGTAGCAGAATTCTGTTTAAATTCTGCTTGTATTTTTATACTCATCACTAGAAGTTTATTCTTCATCGACATATGCATTCTTCCTATACTCTTTAAAATTTTGTATTCTGCTACAAGTAACAGAATTCTGTTTAAATTCTGCTTGTATTTTTGTATTCTTCACGAGAACTTTATTCCTGATAAATATATTGACTCCTAGTATGACTATTGAAAGTTTGTATTCTGTTACTTGTAGCCGAATTCTGTTTAAATTCTGCTTGCATTGTGAAATTCTTTACTAGATTTTCATGGCTGGCGGATATATACACTCGTGGTATGCTTATTGAAAGTTTGTATTCATAGGGAATCCATGGTTTACCGATTGGAATTTTAAATTCTGAATTCTGCTTGTTAGAAATTCTGCAGCCCCTCAGAAAAATAAGAAATAAAACCAACTGTTATCTATATTATCAATATAGAAAAATAAAAAAGTAGGACTTTCTATATCAGCAATACAAGAAAATGAGAAATCGAAAGGAGCATTTTCTATATTATCATTTTAGAAAAATAAGACAGAACACTAACTGTTTCTATATCATCAATATAGAAAAAATATATAAAAATCTGATTTTCTATATTATGAATATAGAAAATAAAAATAAGAAGGCTAACTGTGATCTATAGTACCAACATAGAAAAATAAGAATTAAAACTAATCGTTACTTATATTATCAACATAGAAAATAAGAATTAAAAAAATATAATTTCCTATATTATTAATATAGAAAAATGAGAGGTAAAAATGAGATTCTCTATATTGCCAAAATAGAAAAAGAAGAAATAAAAATGGGAATTGCTATATTACCAGTATGGAAAAAAGAAAAATAATGAATAGGATTTTATATAATATCAAATATAGAAAAATAAAAAGTAAAAATTAAGATTTTCTATAGTATCACTATAGAAAAGTAAAAAATGAAAATTAGGATTTTCAATTTGATTAAATATAGAAAGATTAAAACAAAATTACCATTCCCTTTGCTATCAATTTAGGAAAATAAGAAATGAAGGTGAAGATTTTCTATATAATCAAAAGAGAAAAGTACGAGAAAAAATTAGATGCACAGCTTAGTTCTGTTTTTTAACCACTCCTCTTCATAGTAAAACTAATCAAATCAACAATTCTCGAATAAATTAAAGAACAGGAGAGACCATACACCATCAGGTAAGAACAGACAAGATCTACATAATGTACTGCCATATGTTTCTTTTTACATGAATCTTATATGATCTGATAAGACCTGAGGAGAAACATCAGCCTGCACTCATACGTTTCTTAGGGTGCACCGACAGTTGAGCCCCCGACAGATGAGCCCTCGACAGTTGAGCCTACCGACAGTTGAGCCTACCGACAGTTGAGCTCCCGACATTTGAGCCTCACAAAATTGAAATTTCATCGATTAAACATAGAACACACGAAATTATTATTGAATCGCTTAATTCACTTGAAAATAGTGCACGAAAACATGAGACATCTTTCGATGGTACTGATGGCTCGTCGATATATTTTTCGTGGCTAAATCAATCATCTGTACAGAAATGAACAAGTTTTTCGTACAATATTTCTGTGACTCATAAAGGTTTTATCATTATTGGTTTATTTTTCTATTATCATTAACAATGTCAATCGTGAAATCTTCAAAAAACAAGGATCAACTTTTACTTAGTGGTTATCGTTATCGTCGTGCAAATAAATCTCAAATTATTTGGCGTTGTTGTCGAAATGACTGTGCTGGTCGTGTACGTTTTGATGGAACAGGTTATATTAAAGTTACGGATCATCTTCATGCACCAAATCCTGAAGAAACAATATCAGTGCAATTCAAACCAAATATCAGTTCTGGTGCAACAATATCGCATGATCCATCACGAAGTATTATTCATCAGGCTTTATTAAATTTTTTTTAATATGAGGCTCAAGTGTCGGGAGCTCATTTGTCGGGAGCTCAACTGTCGGTAGGCTCAACTGTCGAGGGCTCATTTGTCGGGGCTCAACTGTCGGGACTCATCTGTCGGGAGCTCAACTGTCGGGTCACGGTTTCTTAGTCTTTAAATCTTGTAAGATTTTTGCTAACATCTTATGGTCAGAATTTGAGGCAATCTTTAAAAAAGTGAACACATACGAAATCATAGGCTCTTGTGACAAGCTCATGGAGGAAACCTTATAGGGGAAAGATCTTTTCGGGTCTTGCATGATCTGATATCAGGTTTGTAACCTGAAAATTTACGACTAACTTACGACCATATACAGTCGTATACTACACTCGTACACGGCAGTCGTTTATTTTCAACGTATACGTTGACTGTATTTGAACGTACGGCATCGTATACGTTCATCATATACGATCGCCGTATACGATGACCGTTTCTAGACGTATTTCTTCGTATACGACCGTTTACGATCTTGCTTTTTCGACCTGGGAATGGAATAATTTTGATGCTTCTGAAATTACAAAACACATGAAATTTTTTGTATGACAATTTGATAAATAATCATTGACATAAATTTTTTTGATTTTTGAGGTTATTAAAAGAGCATTGTGACGTATCAAAATGTTTTGCTTTTTTTCTTTTTAATACCAGAAATTTTCTCGAGCCTCGTCTACATCGTTTAAAATCTTGGTAGGTTATCATTTGCCACAAATTGTGGTTCCCTGAATCAGTCCCTGAATCGAATCCCTATTTATGAATACGTGAAACGCTATTGTATACTCTGGTGACCAAATAGGGATTAATTTAGGAATATTTTTTAGGGACC